ACCCCGGCTTCCTGCTGCCCCCGTGCTACGAGCGCGCCCTCAGCCGCGTGCCCGCGGGCCTGGGGGCCGAGCAGGACTCCCCAGGGCCGCAGGAAGCCGGGGTGTCTCGGCGAGGAGACACCCCGGGCGCGGCAGCAGAGTAGGGGAAGGAGGGGGCTGGCAGGGGTAGAAGCCTGTGGGGGGCCGGGGCTAGACTCTCCCCCCCACAGGACACAGCTGAATTTCACGGTCGCCATCGATTTCACGGCCTCCAACGGTGAGTGCAGCGCGGCGGGGCAGCCTGGCTGCTGCGGGGGCGGGCGGGCTCCACGTCTGTCCCCGTCCGTCCGTCCGTCCGTCCGTGGGTCCGGGGATGCCCTGGTGCAGGGCGGGGTGCGACCCCGACACGGGCCCTGGGGCTGCCCCTAACCGGGGTGGGGGCCGTGGGTGAGGCGGGGGCAGGCTGCCCGGGCTGAGGGGCCACGCGGTGCCGGCAGGGATCCCGTCGCAACCCACGTCCCTGCACTACATGAGCCCGTACCAGCTGAGCGCCTACGCCATGGCGCTGAAGGCCGTCGGGGAGATCATCCAGGACTACGACAGTGACAAGCTCTTCCCCGCCTACGGCTTCGGCGCCAAGGTGCCCCCGGACGGCAGGATCTCCCACCAGTTCCCCCTGGTACGAGCCGCGACGGCGGGGGCCCTGTCGGGCGGGGAGGGGCCGGGCCTGTCCCCCGCGTCCTCCCGCCGGCTCCGCGGCGAATCCCAGGGGGAGGAGGCGCTTCTGGACACGGGCACCGGGGACAGCCTGCGCCTGGCGCCGGTCCAGACGCCCACGTGCGCCCGTCCCTGGGGCTGCCACTGCACCTGTGCAGCCGCGTGCGTGGAGCCCCCCGCACGCGCGTGCGAGGCGTGCATGTGCATGTGCATGTGCATGTGCATGTGCACGTGCGCACGCAGCTCCATGCCGTCCGCCCTGGCAGAACAACAACCCCGAGGACCCGAACTGCGTGGGCATCGAGGGCGTGCTGGAGGCGTACTTCCAGAGCCTGCGCACCGTGCAGCTCTACGGGCCCACCAACTTCGCCCCCGTCATCAACCAGGTGGCGCGGTG